GACGTGAGGAAGAGAAAAGCTAAGCTTGCCGAGGACTACTTTCATATAGGGATTGCAATGTGTCAGGTTTTGCCAAACCCAAACCCAAATCCATGGGTTTATCCGTGAAAAAAAATCCGGGTTAAAACCCACTGGGTTTGAAAAACTCAAACCCAACCCGCTGGGTATCCGCGGGTTCATAGGTACCCACGGGTTTTTGTCGTAAAAAATTCACAATAACAAATTCCTATCAAAATTAAAGTCAAATATCAATCTCTCAATACAAATTATCCATATATAAAACACCATTCTAGAATATTCAAGCAAATTACAAATTAACTATACAAATTGTTCAACACCAATCGAGAAAACTCAAGAAAATTGAAGCAAATCACAAATTATCCATAAATAACATGATTATTGAATGCTTCTTCCTTTCAATTAAGTTTTTCACTCTCCACTCGATAACAACAACTTCATTCTACATAACTAGAAAGAAAAAATTAGACATGTCTCCACAAACATAAATAAGATTAGTTGTTTAGAATATTAAATATGCCGAAAAAATTAATTATATGGGTGTGAGCGGGTACACATAGGTCGGGTTTACCTAAACCCAAACCCAACCCAACTCGATGAATAGTGAACAGGTTTAAACCCAAACCCGACCCAAAGCCCATCAACACGAATTTTACCCGCGTAGACCGGGTTGGGTCGGGTGGATACCCATGAGTTCGGGTTTTGTTGTCATCCTACTTTGTGAGACCAATGAAGTGATGGCTAGAAATGGAGTCCCTACATATTCATGCTAAAGTGAGACAGGTTACGAATGAGAAGTTAATTGCACCGTCCTAGCAGAAGACGGAAGACAAATAGTGTTTATGATTGGCGCAAATCAAGCACCAGGCCACCAGGGTCAGATGGTCAGGATCCCCTTCTGTATTGGGCAGCTCTAGCATTTTGGAATGTTTATGAATTAATTTTCTCGCACTATTTTGAGTCAATTGTGATATTATCTAGACTAGCGACTGACCACGATGTATCCAACAATCATGGTAGAGGGCATGGATAGATTGCCCACTTTTTTGCCTTCAATTTCTACTTTGTATCAACTCGATTGAGTTCTAATTTAATCCAGACTTCATCTCAAAAAATCCCCGAACATCCATGAATCTAAAATATTTTATTTTGGCTACTAGTTTGTGCCAAATAATTTTATTGGATGACCTAAAACACACTAGAAACAAATAACAAGCATATAACCGACAAACACATAAATAACTAAAATAAAAAGGTAAAAGATACTCAAATACACGAGTAAACATATATAAAATATGAATTATCTAGTCCTATACTAGTACAACTCTAAATTAAATGATGCGTATTCAAACTAATGTTTATGTACTTTGAAAAGATATACATTTGAAATAAATGAATTTGATGATTTCAAGCAAAGTAGGTTGATGTAAATGATAAGCGGAAGATCCTTTAATGGTGAGAACAACCAAATAAATTAAGAATGAAAGGAAGCAAACTGAGACGTAAGATACTACCCCAAGCCCCTATACTCAAAACAATCCAACAAGCTCTGGTCTAATTGACATCGATAACCGATGATCCACTTCGCCTGCGCAACAATCTGTGAGGGGGTATTTCTCCAGCAGAACCATACATGACAAATGATTTAAGTCTGTAGTAGCAGACGACCCACTCCATCTAGATACACACCACTGTAACACTGTTCACCAGTCTCCCAAATCTGGAGGAGCTGCAATTTGCATAATTTGATTAAGAACATTCCTTGTATAAGAACAATCAGCAAAGAGATGATGACGAGAATCTAAACATCCAGGGCAAAGTAAGCAAAGACCAGTGAATGGCTTTCCCCAGGAGATAAGCTTATCCTGCCACTTTAGTCTATCATTAATCACAAGCTAGAGAATAAAACCATGACGAGTAACAATGCACTTGTCCCAAACAAGATTGTACTTGGATACAATGTTATCCCTCTGCCTCAATGAATTCTATACTTTTTTCACATAATAGAATGTCACTACTTCTCCATCCCATGCCAAGCCAGCCCCCAATTGTGAAATAAATGGTCTCGCTACCGCTCGACATTTAAGAATCCGTTTCCAGATCCAAGAACCCGCAGCAGAAGCATTGATATCCCAAATCGAAGCCTTCTTGACACCATAACGACAAATCTACGCAACCCAAATTGATCCCTCCTCGGCAAGAATATCCCAGAGATGCCTAAGGATGCATGCTTTGTTCCAGATCACAAAATTATGAATCCCAAGCCCTCCTTCACGCTTTGACCAAGCAAGGAAATCCCAAAAAGTGACGGCCTTTGATCTCAATGATGAATCATTAACATCCTAGAGGAACTTATTAGTTATTACACATGGACTCCACCTCCTTAATAACTAACTAGGGAAGAAGAAAGATATCCAAAATTGCAGGACACTAGTCAAAACCATTGCAATGAGATGAAGCCTACCAGCAAAACCTAGCATCTTAGCCCTCTAGCTGCATATTTTAGCAGTGATTTTCTCCACAAGAACACGACACTCAGCACTAGTAAGCTTCCTTGTAATGAGGGGAAGACCAAGATAGCGAACGGGAAGACTTCCTAAGGGAAACCTCGAGTAAGAAGATATAAACTGTTGTTCAGAAGCAGAGACACCCCCCCCCCCCCCCCCCCAAGAACAGCTAACACTTATCAGGGTTACAATTCAAACCGAAACAGTGTAGAAAGCATCTAAAACTCAACAGATTCCAGCCACCCCTCTTATAGAACCATGTGTAAAAACAACCAAATCGTCATCAAAATACAAATGTGTAATTGCCAATGGTTTGCACTTGGAATGGAAAGGAATTCGATCCTGTCTAACTGCAATCTTCAACATAGCCTCAAGGACTTTCATTGCAACCGTAAAAAAAATAGGGAGAGAGCGGGTCACCTTGCCTAAGACCCCTTTTCATCTAAAAAAAACCACAAATGCCACCATTCAAGCCAACACTAACCTTTGGGAAACACACATAGGCTTTTAACCACTTGATGAACAAGTTAGGGATTCCCATTGTGCTAAGAATAGAGAACAATAAAGACCAATTGACCGAGTCAAACGCTTTCATGATATCAATTTTGACAGCACAACAAGGGGAAATATGTTTTCTATGATAATCTTTCACTAATTCTAACGCCAAGAGGATATTATAACTAATGGACCGACCTTTAATAAATGCAGACTGAGATGAGGAAAGTAAAGAGGGCATGACATATGCTAACCTGTTGGCCAGAACCTTTGATATCCCCTTATAAATCATATTACTACATGAGATCTCATGGGGCGGAAGACTTTCATTTGTTCAGCATTTGGTATCTTAGCCACAAGAGTAGAATTCAGAACTCGAGGCATAATGCCAAAGGAAAAGAAATCTAGAGCCACATCCTCAACCAAGCGACCAATAAGGTCAAAATGAAGCATATAGAACTCAGAGGGAAATCCATCTGGCCCTGGGGCCTTATCCCTGCCAAGATTCCTGAACACTTGATGGACTTCCTCCCTATAGATTGGAGAAACCAAGGAAAGAGCCTCCTCTTGTGTAAGCGTTTTAAGAGATAACTGCTCACAGAAGTTGGAGGGCTGAACAATGACAACAGGATCAACTTCCCCAACTAGTTTCCTATAAAACTCCACTGAAACTTTTCCCATATCCTTAACAGCAGTCACATCTTGTCCTTGAGAATTTAGAAGATGAGTGATCTGTTGGCGATGAGTATGAACCTTCACATAACGATGAAAAAAAGATGTATTCATATCTCCCTTCTGCACCCCCTTGATCTGAGTTTTCTGTTTATAGTAGTTTTTCTCAGCTTTTTGCAACTCATGGCACTCAGCTGCAAGCTACTTTTCTTCCTCCGCCAGATTGGCATCCGGGTTGGCAAGAAGAGACATCTTTAACATCTCCAATCGACTTTCACTCTCTCCAGTCTGAGCAAATATATCAGCATAAACCACAAAATAAGGATGGCCATCCACACTATAATTATAAGCTTCTGAAACTAAGTTACTATAGGTGGGATGACTGACCAAAATTTGAAATACTTAAACGGCTTCGGGAAACTTTCCACGTGAGGGATAACATTCAACAACAGCCCACAATGATCAGACACCCCATGGGGAGTAGTCAAAGGTGTACTGGCTGAGAAGGTAGTCAACCAGGCCTCATTAACCAAGATTATGTCCAACTGTTTTGCAATGGGATTCCCTACCTGCTTATTATACCAAGTAAACCATGCACCCCTAACTTTGTGATCAAGCAGCTTCATGTCGTCAACCTAGGATTTAAAAGCAACCATACTATAAGTTATACTAGAAGAATTCGAAGCTTCTCATGGATCAAGCACAACGTTAAAATCTCCTAAGATCACCCAAGGTAAAAGAACCTCCTGCTGAAGCATAAGATCCCTGTACAAAGCAGCCATTTTAGCTTCCTTATTTGGACTATAAACCACCAATAGAATAAAAGGAGAAGACCCCCCAACCTTGACTTTTAGGAAATGTTGCCCATCATCAACCTTAGTAATATCCATACCATCTTTCCAGAGCAACCAGACTCGACCATTTGGGGATTAGGGTAGTTATTCAGATGCTTCAAATGACTGAAATGTCTAGCAAGTATATCAACACTACTAATTGCTGTAACTCTAGTTTCTATTATTGCTCTAATATCTAATTTCAAGCGGCAAAACTTTTTAAGCACTGTAGTGTGCTTCTCATGAGCATTGAAGCCCCTGACATTCCAGCACACGGCCTTCAATTCCCGCGCCTTTCCCCCCTTCCCTTACCTTTAACAGGGGCGAGAGAGGAGGAGCAACAACACGCCTCAATACAGGTCGACTTAGGGAGGGAGACATTTTATCGTCCAAAGAGCTCTTACCAGGACCATAATATAATTTCCAAGGACTTTTAGATGCAGACCGTGGAGCGAAAGCTCTTACTCTATCCTTCCTATTTTTTAACCACATGGAATCCATCATCTTCATCAACTTTTGAGCACTCACTCATTTTTTGGACATACTCAAACTCCTTTTCTGGAGTAGAAGAAAGCTCAGCCTCATCCACAACAGCATCCGAGACCTCCACACAGCTCATACCAGCCTCCAAGCTAACCTCATACCGAGTAACATCCACATCTTGAACACAAGCACACTTTTCCCCTTGTTCTACTGAGAAATATGGGTTACTTCCTTCACTCGAGTCTTCTTCACACCCCAGATCCTCTTGTTCTTCCACCAGGATTTGAGCAATCATCTCCAAACACATGACACTTTTCACATTTGCTCGAAACATGACAAAAATCGACATCGACTAGCATCTCACAAGGTTAGACTTCACATTAATTTCAACACAGACCGTAGCAACCTTGAACCTCGTCCCCTACTTCGTAGGGAAGTCCATACAAAGAGGCCGACCTAGAGAGATAGCAATACACCCTAATCCCTCCTTAGAAGTCATCTTAGAACGCAAATTCGATAACCTAACCCAGAATGGAACCACAAAGTTATCGATAGCAAGAGGTTGAATACCTGGTTCTCAGTTTCGCAGGAAAATCATGTTCTCGCGATGGTGCCAAGGCCCTCCTTCAAAGACCCAACAACAAACCTCCGCGTTCAGAAACTGAAATAACACCAAGCGTTCCCTAAGCCATGAAACCCTAATATTTCATCTCGTCCCCAAATCCAATTCGCCCAGAAGTGAATGGGCGAGAGCGACGTTGCTTGATGACTCGATATTTGCATATGTTTTCCCCTTTGTTTCTTGATCGTTTGAGATTTAATTATCGCGTCTTTGGCCTATTTTACACTAGGTTGTGTTCCTTTGTCACATTTCAGGTCCTAACACATAAAGTGAAGCATAGGCACAAGTTTCAAGTCAATCAGAGATCAATTGGCGATTAGGGAGAAGAAACTCGGGCATGACCTAAAGATGAATGGATTTCTACCTCACTTTATGGACAAATAATCATGCAAGCTTGTCATTAAAATAAAGAGGACAAGACTACGAGCATCTGGGATCAAACGGCGACTGATTCGGAGTCCGAACGAGGGAGAAACAAAGCATTGAATATAGGGGAACAGGTTCGGCAGTAAAAACACGGGCGCGCCTAAATCAAAACACGGATGTGCCCATATTTAGGCACGACCGTGTTTTGGCCGACGCGCGCGTGCGTGTTTTTAACTCGGGGCAAAGTACGGGCGGGAAAAACCAAAGCACGGCCGTGACCTCGACCGTGTTTTGCCCAGAATCGGGTTTTTTAGCCCAAATTCGAGCCAAAGGAGGGAGAGAGCTGGGTTTTGGATCCCAAACACCCAAGGGACGAACCAAAGAGAGAAAGGGCGATCTGAGGGCATTCTAAGAGTGGGATTGGAGGATTTCTTTGCCTTGGAAGCTCGAGGAACAAGCCTGGTCTTGAAGTCTGATCATCTGAAGATTCTTACTGCAGTCTCTCTCTTCTCTATGGAGTAACTTCCCTTCACTTAGGTTTTGAGGAACCCTAGCTATGTTTGTTTGATTGGATGATTGTATGAGTACTCTGACTTGATAATCTTGAGTTCATATTCAATCTATGCATGTTTTCATGATTCAATTCTGCTTTAGTCAAGATTATTGATTCTCCTTTGATCCTATGAGAGGGAATACCTGATTAGGTCAATAGAGCACCATAGATTGATAGTAGTGGATCGATTGCTTTATTCGAGGGTTGATTCACTGCTTTGTATCGATTGAGAACCTCTTTTGATAGAGGGAGTCTAGTTCAGAACGCCTTGATCAGTTGTTCTAGAGAAGGATATGTCCCTCTAGGCAATTTACTCAAGAGGGCCTTGTTCCTTTAGTCGAGACTCAAGGTCTAGTCAAGGATTCTCCGCATTGTGAATGAAAGTGAAACAAGTTAGAAATCATCAATCGTTAGTCTGGCTAGTGGCTAGGGGGAATCATACCTAAGTGAGTTCCCAACCTGTAATTAGATTAACTTTAACTGTAGTTTGCTAGAGTAGTTTTAGTTCTTTCATCTTAATCTGGTTTGCTAAATAATAAACTGAAGCTGAGTAATAGTAACTCTAGAGACCCGTGGATTCGATATTTATCACTGGAGCCACTATACTGTAGTCCCTTCCATTGGTTACACTTGGCCATTGTTAGGTGTTGTGTCGTAGCGAGTCAAGTTTTTGGCGCCGTTGCCGGGGACTTTCTAGAGTATTAGGAAAGGCAGAAGTTTGTTACTTTAGCGTTTTTCTTTTCTTTTCCACCCTTGCTTTTCACTTGGGTGTTCTTCTCCAACAATTGGGGGTATCCACCACCACCTGAGTGGTATTACCCCGAGACTCCCTGGAGCAATCAAGGAGGAGTAGACTATGGATTCGGGTTCCAGTACCAACCCCCTTACTACAGAGAACAACCGGACCCCTGGGCATATCAAGAACAACCTCATTATCAAGAAGAATTTCTCCCACAACCAGAAGGGCCATCGGTGCTGGAGTTACCCATGGCGGCCTTCACGGGCCATTCTGCAGAGCCATGCTACACTCCACAGCCAGATCCAAACTATGAATTGAGGCTTCTCATGGAGCAGTTTGCTCGAGATTGTGAGAGATCATGCTCCAGGATGGATCATTGTGTCCAAGCCTATCGTGAAACAGAGGAGATCCTCCTGAGCCTTAAGAAGAGCGCCGATGATCTTGAGCGATCTTTCGCACAACCTGCTCCAAATCACCCTTCTGCTACCATACAAGAAGAGGAGGAGGAAGAAGAAGGCTACAAGTACATAGTGGAGCACACTGAAGTTGTCACGGAGAGCTCCCGTGATGATCATGATCAGGAATGTCATATCATAGCCGACCACACCTTCCCACATCCCAAACTAAGCTTTGAAGAGGCGGGCATGAGTGAGGAGATGCAAGAAGATCTCATGAAAGAAATTGCTTGACAACTTGCTCTACAATCCGTGCTAGAAGAAGAAGAGCAAGAAAGGGTGCAGAAAGAAGTTGTGGAGGATGACGAAAGAGAAGCAGGAGGAGTTCTTGATCATTTCCCAGGGGTGATACCACAAGAACAAGGAAGGGAGGTTGAAGAAGCAATTGGCGTCCATGCTGAGGACGAAGTTGAGGTGGAAGAGGCTTGCACCGGCCATGAGTTACATTTGATATCTCCACCAAACTTCGAGGAACTACTTAGCAATGATCCATTTGCAGTGTCTCTTTGCCATACCAAGGTCACGTCGACATCGGTCCCTCTTGGTGGACGCGATGGTTGTCAATCGATGCTGTCATATCTGGTTTTGGGCAATGAGACGAGAGAAGAGAAGAAGAGGTCTCGAGGGTGGAGACTTCATCCACATTAAGTGCACGAGCTTCCATCACCTGTCATACCACATGCTCGTGACTTGAGACTCCACCTCGGCAATAAGAACACTGGTGTGCTCTTTTCGTGTACACGGCCGTGCTCTTCAAGCCTCCTGCCCGTGCTATAGCCCCATCTCGACCGAATGACCTCCAAATGCCCCGAAACTCGTGCTTAGCCTTTCCTTCGACGTCTGGGACCTGAAATATGACAAAGTAGCACAACCCGGCGTAAAATAGGCCAAAAATACATGACTACACCCCGCAAACGGATAAGAACTAGGGGTGCAAACATGTGTAATCAATGGTCTATCAAACTCCCCCACACTTAACCGTTTGCTTGTCCCCATACCTCTATAGCAACAAACCACCCCGATCGTCGGTAGAGGATTTTCTAGATCATATAGCAGCTTACGAGGTCAACTGGTCTTCTAAGACGTTCCCTATCTCTCTCAATGCGAGTACTAGACTCAAGCCAGGATCATGTGAAGAAGTAGAAGTAATACGGTCAGTTCATGGATAAAGGGACTCACACCATTCACAACCAAGGACTCGTTGTACCGGGGTGCTCTTTCACTTCATTTCACCGTTGGAACCCCTTTTTCACTTTCATTTTACTTCTTTTTTTTTTCTTTCTCATTCACTTAGCGGGGGTTCCAACTGCAGTCTTTTGCACGGTCGACCCTTATTAGTCGAGCAAGAGCAATTTCTGTACATCTGGCGCTCGCCAGAGTACTTCTTTTAATTCCTTTTCCTCAACTTGTGTGGAGGGTCAACGAAATTAAGGGGGGTCGGAAGCTCTATCCGTGCCCTTAAAAACACATTCTCAAGTAGGCAAACCGTTCAACGGGTGGAAGTTTTACTTGTACTAGAGACAGCTTAGCTTCACCTTGTAGGAGTACCCCACTAAGGATCACTAAAATCTCTTCCAAAACCCGATTTTTGTGCAATGAACGGTGACACACACGTTGGGCTTACCCCATGTTTAAGATTTAATGATTTCGACATGGAGGACCAACTGCTTTTCATTTTTCACATGAGCATCCTGTTCGATACACGAGTCCATAACACAATCCAAACAGAGTCACCATTACCACATGAATTCAACGGTCTTAGCTCCACTAATTCACAAAATCAACTGGCACAACAGAGAGCTAGATATGAAAAATCTTATACTTCAACATCCTCCATAGTGCTACACTACCTCCCTAGGTTGCACATTACTATAGAGACTGTCAATTCAAAGCATACTGAGCAGGCAATTTGCAAGGAAACACGTACTTGGAGCCCTCAAATTTAAAAATTTGGATAGTGGAATAGGCTCCAAGCACACAAACAGATCTAATGCAGTTAAAAGAGAAGAGAAACATCCCCCACACTTAAGATCGACATTGCCCTCAATGGAGAAGAGGGAAGGATAAGGGGAACGATGTTACCGGTGTGCATGGACTGCAGGAGACTGGAAGTGGACCAGTCTGAGTGAAGCGGACTGGAGAGGGGACCAGTCAGGGACAAAGCACAACTAAAGGGAACAGAAGAACTAAACACAATATGTTAGGTCCAATGGTCAGCCCAATAGTACATCATTCAAAACAAAAGAAGACAAACCAAAACCAAACCAGTTTGCAATCCGACCCAAAACAAAAGAAATAAATGCAAACCGTGGTGGGGTTGCCTCCCCACAAGCGCTTCTTTACCGTCTTTTAGCTGGACGCCCATGGTGGATACTCAGCGGGGAGCAGGGACAGGTGCCTCCAAGAGTGGATCCACATCGCTCTTGAGATACAACTTCAGATGGTGGCCATGCACCCGACGGGTGCAACCACCAGCATTGGTCAGCTCGACCTGGCCATCCGGCAAGATGCATGCGAGTGAGTACTCGGATGGCCAGGGTGGTCGTGGTGCAGGAGGTGGGACCAGCTCATAGTGATCTCTACCTTTCTTCTGAGCAGGCTTAGCCACCTGCGG